GTAAGTGCTGAAGCCACTGGATCAGCATGATGGATAGGCAACTAGCATTTTGAGGAGGAGAAAATCAACAACTGCAGCCTCTATCCTTTGTCCATATTTCCTAAAATATCTATGCCATCTTGTCGGATTTGAAGTATGGTCATATAAGAGAAAATGCAGCACATTGATGAAAAGCCTAAATGTACTTCTTGAAATGCCATCTTCACCCAAAACTAGTATGTGTGCTCTGTATCGGCACCCATGAAACAAATCACAGGCTGGTATCTTTTATGCTTGGAACCCAAAATAGCCGATGTCCTCCCATCAACACATCTGAGATGTCACTTTTCTATAGGTTCATATGTCAACTATTCTTTAACATCCATCATAAAGATCAGGGAAGGGTCACACCATCATTCTTTTTTTTTTTTTTTAAATCATGGCTGTGGACAGTATTAAGTCCCATCAGGCCCAATAAACACACAAGAACCTGGAATGTGATTCAACTCAAGCAGTAAACATAGCAAACTGAAATAGTAGATTTGGGTGGGAAGAACTAAATGCTGAACTGATGAACTAAAATCTCTGTAACGCCCAAATAACTACTGACTGTCAGTCGAGGATAAACGGTGCCGGCCTTGATTTACAATATTATAATATCCCATAGAGTGCCGTGTAATGTCTTAATTGACTATTCAGTGTTCTTAAAGCCAAAGTTCATCCTAAATTGAAAAAGCAATGTAGGAGCACCTCCTTTGCTCCATCTCCTGGAGTAAGAACAGCCTACTTTAGTCAATGGGGTAGTCCAAATTTCTGATGGAGGATTAGTGGCGGCATTTGGTCACAGTATTCGGCTCAAGCTCAACTGCAAACATCGGACACGGGTTGCCTGATTACAATTAGAACAGAAAACAACTGAATGTCAGCAGGCACTCAGTGAGGTCTGTAGACATCCCAGGCAGTGTCAATAAATTTGCATTCTCATACAAGTCTATCAGTATACAAAATCTGCTTGAAGCAGGTCAGGAGGAGGCCAAATGCACCGGTCAATTAATTCTAAAAGATCTCAGAAGCATCTCAAGCTGATGCCATCAACACAAGCCTAAAGCCTGTTGAGGCTGTAATGATAGTTGGAAATAGATGTTCCCAGATAATCGCTGTTCCTCCACAGCAACCAGCTGCTGCCTGCACAGTTAATAAATATGCATCCTTTGCCAAAATGATTGTGCCCATTTATGTTATGGTCTTTCTACAGAGAGCAAAGGGGTCTTCTGACTGCCATGTCATGTTTATGGGTAACATAGGAATGAAGGATTAACTGGCTGAATGGACAGAACTGACCATTGGAAACTAATCTATGGAACTCTGGAGGGAGGGTAGTAGCTGGCTAGTCTTAGGAAACAAACTGTTCAGTTCTGATGCAGTTCAGCACTTAGGCCCGGTTCACACTGAGCGATTTATCGAGCGTTTTTTGCAGCGATATCGCTCATATTTCCACGCGATATTGCTCTATGTAGCTTCTCCAATCCATTTCAATGGAGCTGTTCACATCTCGTTCCTCAATATCGCTTGTAGCTCCTACATGACCCTTTTTTCGAGCGATTTTGCTCCTGATTGCATACAGCCCAATAGGAAAAAGTCGCGCAATATCGCTCAATATCACTCGTCGCTCAGTGTGAATGGGGTCTAAAGGTTAACAACAATTTGAATTATGAATTGGCTAACTGCCCACTCATTCCCTAGAGTGCCCACTACAGATCAGGACTGCCAGTAGATGACTTATCCAATATTACCTACGAAGGAAATCTCCCTTTTAGACTGTAAGCCCTCACGGGCTAATAATAATAATATGCTCTGTAGGCAGTCTGAAGAGGATGGAAAAGCCACTGGAATTGGTGTAGACCATGATCTGGGGATGAGGCTATCACTAATCTGAAGTCTGCAATGGGCATTATATATGAGATGGGGAAGTGGGGGCAGTAGCTTACCACTTGCATATATTATATTGCCTTGCTCCAAGTGCAGCTTCACAGATCAGAAAGGTCAATGGTTTTTCACGTTAAGTTTGACTGCAGTGAAGCTATTCGAATAAGGACATCTATCACTGCACTGCATGAAAAACCCACTCAAGCTGCTGCATGTATCGATGCAAGAACAGACCGTCAATGCTCAAAGCATAGAACAACATAGATTAAAACTAATCCGTTGAATAAAATGGTCCAACTCTCAGACACTGTTCTCACATGGCACGCAGTCAAACCCGAGCCCTATGGTGGACATACACAGGTATAGTTTCAGGCACATTTAACGACATCAATGACCAAATAGGTCAATGCAACCACACAAAAAAACTGATTGAAACTGTTGGTACTAGGCTGCATTGATAATTTTTGCTATCCAAAGGCGACTGAACCTGGTTAACATGGAGTAAAACCTGACATCTGTATGCCCAGCTCAGGGAATACCTTCCTAACTATAGAGCCCCGGGACCACAACTTTTAAAACAGGACTTGCCTGACTGTAGCTGGCTGAGCAACAAGCACTATGTACCCTGTTTCCCCGAAAATAAGACCTACCCTGAAAGTAAGAAATGTTTTCATTGGCTGTATAATTCAGTCTCCACTCTACCCTTTACTAGAGGTAACTGAAAATTCCTCCCCCTTTTGATGTGTAAGGTATTTTTTTTTTAACTTTCTCTACCCAAAGAGGACATTTTGATTGAACTGTGGACTGAATCATCTGCTAGCGAGCATATATAGTTGACGCTGGTAGGTCATGTACCCAAAACTAACCCGTCAGTACTGGATGGACTAAACATTTAAAAGACAACTGAACAGGCTGTGGCAGTACAATAATAGTGCCAAGCAGAAGTCACCTATAGGTGACCTCTTCAGCGCCAAACAAACCCAAAAATCAGGACCAATTTAACACACTAGTTTAGATACTTGTAGGCCCATTATAGTGATGGGCTAACAGGGACAGGCAAGGAAGGTGCAGGCTAGCTTTCAGCACCATCACAAAGTCTTGAAACTAGCGTGATTTATAAAATGTAGGGTTCGTCGGACTCTGGAGAAGTTACCTACATACCATTATACCATGCACCACACTACCACATACTATGCAGTACCTTTGTGGTACAGGAATTTTTTTGTTTTTGTTTGTTTCAAAAGGTTGTCATGTGTGGTGCCAAGGATGATAGCAACAGTAAGCACCACGAGAGGTGAAGAAGTCTCCATAAAGCGGATTACATCCAATACGTGACTGCATGATTGGCGTTTTAAGATTATTACGCTGCTTGTTTGCTCCTAGGATAGTAAAACATAATCAATGCTTGATAAATACACCATCAAGAATCAGAGAAAGTATTCATTAACACTGACTAGCTATTTTACCAATGCTGTGCAGCTGAAAAACACACAGAACACAGAAGCCAAACATGGAGCCTCGACTAAGTAATAAGTCGAACGGCCCACTTGCATTCTTATGTGATAAAGCAACAACATACTGTAACATTACATTTTTACTACACCACTAACAAAAAGCAAACCTTGATTTTATACACGGTTTACTACTGGCAGCAGTGCGCAGAGAACATAAACCCCTTGTACTGAAGGGACACTCAGATTAAATGTTTCACATGCACTGTCCAGAAAGTGTCCAGCAATGCTTGATCCAAAACGTTCCTCTAGATGTGACGGGTTAAATTCTAGCCCGTTTTTAAAGTGCGCCAGTTGTTGGCTCACTGCGTAAGCAAACGTGTTTTGTACAGTCATGAGAATGATGCCTAGTCGCTATATGTAAACAACACAATGGAGGCAAGGAAAACTGGAGGTGCTGTTCAGATGCCAGCCTTGTATTGTAAATTGTATTCATGAGAAGATTTATTTTTAGGGCCCCCCTCCCCCCCCAGCTCTGCCCCCAGTATGCTGTGTGAAACAATCACATACATTATATATTGTTCAGCCCACAAAACAGCTACTTTCCCCTTTGCACAGGCCACACTTTAAGGCTGTTTGGGGCTCGGATTATGAATGAAATAAATTAATACTGTGACTGTAGTGTAAACATTAGACTGTTATAATAAGAATGAGCTACTAGCATTAGCACAGTAATCTTCACAGTCAGATATTACCATGAATCGCAGCAATCTTTTCTACTAGCTATCTAAAAATGATATTAAAAAGAGAACCAGGGCTCGTGCAAGATTCTGAATGGTCAGTCGAATTAGTATAACCTTTTAAAGGATTTGTATCGTCTCTGTTATTTAGCCTTACTTACTTCGGCTTATTCTGTCTTAGATGCACACATAACCTTGGTTATAAGTTCAGGAGGTTACCCGACGCCTGACAGCTACAGTGTGTTAGGTTAGGCATCAACTGTCAGGCTTTAGGTGACCCCTGGGCAGCTGCACATATCAACTGTCAGAAGGACAGAGGTCACCAGAAACCTGAAAGTCGCAGTGTGCTAGGTTAGGCATCAACTGTCAGGCCCTGGGCAGCTGCACACATCAACTCGGTCAGAAGGACAGAGGTCACCAGAAACCTAAAAGCTGTAGTGTGTTAGATCAGGAAAGAACCGTCAAGCTTCTGGTGACCTCTGACCCTGGGTAGCGGCACACATCAACTCCGTCAGAAGGACAGAGGTCACCAGAAACCTGCAGTGTGTTAGGTCAGGCAGCAACTGTCAGGTTTTAGGTGACTCCTGGGCAGCTGCACATATCAATTCTGTCAGAAGGTCAGAGGTCATCAGAAGCCTGAAAGCTGCAGTGTGTTACATCAGGCAGCAATTGTCAGACTTCAGGTGACCTCTGACCCTTGGGCAGCTGCACAGATCAACTCTGTCAGTAGGACAGAGGCCATTAGATACCTGAAAGTCACTGTGTGTTAGGTCAGGCAGCAACGGTCAGGCTTCAAATGACCTCTGACCCCTGGGCACCATTAGAGTTAGTAAACCTACAAGGCGCAAATAGAAATATAAGACTACACAATACTAATTTAAAACTGCATATTCAGATTCTTGCATAAAAACAGTTCTGACTGGTTCTCTTTCAGAAGCTTATTTATGGTAGATAAAGTGAAGGCTTAGACAAATGTCATACAGTGCATTTGCTCACCTGCATATTTTAACTACAGGAGCTTAAAGCCTATGCATTCCATTTGCCCGCCCATGTAAGAAGTGGTTTTCCAGGCTCATGTCACATAAGTACTGCTACACCCAACAAAAGCTGCCTGCAGCATTTCTAACATGTACTGTTGCTGCTGTATCAAGGACCTTTACCTTGGCCTGCTTCTTATGCCCAGCACAATGCAATGTATATTCACCAGGCTCCTCAGGCTAAAATATCAGGCCACACATATTGCCCATGTGACATTAGCCACTGAAATGACCCAACAATCTCTATGTAACAGATACATTTAGAAAGTCAGACAATTGGGACTTGACGGCAAATGCTGATATTTAGGCGACATCCAGCACCCCAGCTGCTACCAACTGCCTGGAGAGCCAGTCAAGGCCATCATACAACCCCATACCACTGCGGGCATCGCAGCCCTGGATATACCAGCTGCGGCCACAACACAGTTTGTGAAGGCTCAGTAGCTCTGTCATTTCTTCCACGGAAAGGGCACCTGCAACATCCTGTAAAAACAAAGTAGAATGATTGGCACACCCAGGAGGTAATAAATACACGTTATTCAGTCATTATTTGTACTTGCAATAAGGAAGGCCTCTTAAAATGTGATCGGCCTGTGCTGCACTTAGCAACCACATTTCAACAGTCATGAAACCATTGGCTGCGTTAACCACTTCCAGCGGATTCACGTAAATGTACGTCCTCCGCTGGAAGTGGTTATACCAGGAACACGGCTGCTTCTGTAGCCATGTTCTTGGTACCGATTTAAACAGCCGGAGATTGCTGTTTAAATACAAGTGATCCGCTGCCTGTACAGGCGCCAGATTGCTTGTACTGTGCTGCAGCGCGTGTCACCCCCGCACGCCAGTTTCCTGGCCGCTACTGTACCCCGTGTGAGCCCGGGACTGCCACGGTGGGTCTCCCCTGATGGATCAGAGGAGAGGAGAGTTTAGCGGCTTCTAGCCACTGATCTCTACTTCGATTACTGGACCCGGAAGGGATGTGCATTACATCACTTCTGGTGTCACTGGGCACATTCTCCGGCTCCTAGAGCCAGAAGAAGCAGATCTCTGCTTTATTAGCTTCTTTGGGGTCCCTAGGTGATATTAGGGGTTTGAAAGACCCCTGATGTCTCCATAAAGAGGACCTGTCACATCATATTTGCTATTACATAGGGGGATTGTTAGCCCCCAATGCGATAGCAATAAAACGGAGTGTAAAAAAAATAGAAATTGTAAAAAAATGTAAGTAAGAGATAAAACACAATTAAAAATGCAAAAAAAAAAATGTTTTAAAGTCCCTGGCCCCCCACATACAATGCAAATACATGTCGGATGCACCTACGTGCAAAAACGAAAATTGCACCACACATGTTATGTATCGTTGCGAGCGTCAGAGTGAGAGCAATAATTCTAGGGCCATCAATCACTGTTAGCACTAAAAGCATTTAAATCGCCTACGGGAAATTTTGGTTATTGTAGTTTTTTGCGGTTTCACAAGCGCACGCAATTTTAAGGCTTGACATGTTCGGTATCTATTTACCCAACATGTCCCCATCTTTTATATTCTACCAAATAATTGGGCATTATAGTCTGTTTCTGTGCACTAAATCTCATTTTAGTGCATTTTATCCTAAAAATACTGGTTTAATAAACATTTGCGCAAATAAAGTGCGACATAAAAAATTGCAGCATCTTTTTTATTCTACAGGGCCTCTGCTTTCAGAAAATATATCATTGTTTGGGGGTCTGAAGCTGTAATCTAGCCGAAAATTCAGATTTTATCATGTGTGTGCAAATGTAAGAAATTGCTCTGGGCAGCAAGTGGTTAAAAAAAGCTCAAATAGGTTAGATACCAGTGGTAATTTGTTGTAGCCATAATGACTACAGTGCTCCTAAGATTTAACCAACCTTAGAAATAGGAGGATTTTTGCCCTCACCATAAAAACCTTTTTTTGCAGTTCACTGAAAACAATGGGAAGTTGTTAACCTTTGGGTTATACTGCCGCCTACAGGAGAAAAAAAAAATGTAGGCCCTGGATAACCCCCTAGTAATACCTGCATGCTCAGTTTTGTAGCAAAGTGGTAACTAAAACATGATTTTGAACATGGAGGGGAGGGAACCCTCCTCTTTTAAGCGATTTTGGCCAGTTTGACAAAGTAAACTCACAACCAGGATGGAGTAAAGGGCAGGACATGCTAGTAAGCGTTCTAAAGAAAGCTTCCAACCACTTATCGGTTTGGTCCATAAATTGCTGAGTCCCATAGCGTTAAAAAGGAGAACTATGGGGTTAAGGCTTTTCCCCATAGTTCTCTTAGGGTAACAGGAGGACACAAACTAGCGTCCTCCCGTCACCCTAGGCTCAGTATACCGCGAGCTACTGTGACGCCGCAGCTGAAGCGGATCCCGACAATTGTGCCGGGATCCGCCCAGCTGCGTGACTGACAGCTGGCTCTGCCTATCTAGAGCTGGGAGGGGGGGAATCCAGCCCCTCCCCTGTCACGGCAGAGAACCGTGACAGATCGAGAGGTGAGCGAACGCCGGTATGTGTTCGCTCACTTCCCAATCTACTGAGCCGACCTGTGACAGTCTCATTGTCACAGGTCGGCTAGAACTATGAGGTGAGTGAAAAACACTCATCTCATAGTTCTCCTTTAACCCCTTCCACAGTTAAAACCAAAAGGTGCCCAGTGTAATTGAAGTAGCTCCCAGTGCTCGGCCCAACCAGCCTACTCACAAAGTGAATCTTTGAATCCAGAGTGCTGAGGCAATGCCGGCAGCTCTGGATCCCTGTAGTAGCAATGATTACATTTGCCAATTCACTCCAATGTTCTGAAGAATTGTTACATTGCATCTCTTGTTACTAAGATGTATGCATTTCCTATGATCCTCAGGTCCATCTAGCTGCCATAATAAAAAGGTATTTTCCTAATTAACTATGTTCTTTTTGAATGATCCCATTGTTACTACTGCCCATAATATTTGAAGAACATTCGATCAGAACAGAAAATAGCCTAACAACATTCAATTTTGGCCTATTCTCACAACAGCTTGTTAACTCACAGAACAAATGTAAATGCTGAACAAATAGCTAAGCAAAAAGAGAGGAAAAAAAAAAAAAAAGGATCAGCCCCTTAGGGTCACATTACCTGTTTATTGGCAAATATTAATAGCAGTGCATCACGCAGTTCCTTCTCTGTAAGCAGCTTTGCAAGTTCACTGTGGGCCTCGGTGATACGGTCACGGTGGCTGCTGTCTATTACAAATATGACAGCTAGAGGAAATGAAAAGCAGAATAAGTTGCTGCAGTCTCCCCCAATCATAGCCATGAACCCTTCCCTGGAATCAATGAATGATGTAGCTGGTTTATTAGGGATCCTATACAGATTGTGTAAATTGTTTTAATAAAACATTTATGGATAAATATACACGAGTTGCCAGAAATTCCAAAACGTAATTTGACAATGCTAGTTGCTTGGCTAGCACTGGCTTCGGTACTAAGTCCTGGCACAATCATGCAGCCAGTGATGTTACAACTTCTGATCTGCATACATGTTCCTGGTCAGCGACTAGTCAAAGGATCAACAAGACAACTAGTATACAACTAGGAGGGAGAGGTCAGCAGTGGCGACCCACATATTTCTCTTAGCAGGTTTCTTTTAAGGCACTACTGTCATTCTTATATTGTTGACCTTTTGAAAAGCCAGATTTTCCTATCCTTGTATTTGTTCCATGAAACTAGCATTTTCAGTAGGAGAGATCAGCAATAATAGCTTATATAGTGCACTCAAACAGGTAAGCATTAAAACGGAGATGGTATAGGAGGGAGCAATATTTTCCAAAACTTTCTGTCCAGCCATCCCTTAGAACAGACCCATAAAAATCAGGTCACCTTCAGTGAAGACTGCATGCAAAAAAACTCAAAGAGATGCAGCAGTATGGGTGGCAGATATGATGTGCAAATCTCACCTTTCCATTCACATGGATGAGCCTAGCCAAACAGCACACAGAAACCAGCGCCCCGGAAGGACAGTATGTGTGTATATCTGCTTGCAGCCGTCTGTAACACTCAATGAGAGGACACGGCTGCACACCCACCAGTGGCATCACAAGGGGGGTAAGTCCCGCACCCGTGTGACACCATTGGACAGTGTCAGGAGAGAGGAGGGGACCGGACGGCATACCTCATCCCACCGGGTGAATGTCCCCCTCCTCTCTGCCGGCGTCCATCACCAAGATGGACAATCAATCAGAGTCAATGAGATTACAGTGCATGCGCAATGACGTCACGGCGGGGTGACACCCGGCCTCGGGACGCCCCGACACCCACCCAGACTTGCTCATCAGTACAGGTATGGGTGCACGCCCTTGAACGCAGTATGGCTGTGCATGTCCATGTAAATGAGCCCTAATGAATAAGAAATCTTATACCCGTCATTGGTAGCCTTCTTTTACCTAACATGGCAGCTGATAAGGAGCAACAGCAAAGAAATCTATGCCATGTAATGCTTTTTCAACTTCAATCTTTGGGCTTGAAGATAGGGAATCTCTAAGCACTATTTCACTTATGGGGTTACAAGGTTCAGGGTGAATTTCCATCCCCATAGAAGACACATTGTACATTGTACACTTACCTTGAGTATTAAGATAATAATGCTTCCACAGAGGTCTCAGCTTGTGTTTGCCTCCAACATCCCAAATGGTAAACTTCAAGTTTTTATATTCAACAGTTTCAACATTAAAACCTTCAGAAGTAATAAACAAGAAAGACGAAATTATATTTGGACATAAAAGGATCTTAAAAAAAAACTACATTTTTGCCACAGCAACTGCAAAACCCACATGCCCTCATTTATCTGAAGGGTGGACATAAGAATTCTCAAGCAATCAATTTTGGCCCCAAAAATGGAAGGATTTGACTGGTTTCCATAGGGCAATACAGACAGTTTAGATACATAGGACCCAGAATGACCATTGCATAGATCAAAGAGGAATATATTGTAGCATTCATTAATCTTACCACATAGTAAAATGCTGATATCAGACCAGCATCTAGAGGTCATCAATAAGTCCAACAAAAAGCTGGTTAAGGTTACCGAGCAAGAAGGATTGAGACCCCTTTGTGATGGCCGCAGCATTTGTGTGTACATGGGGGGTTCATCTCACCTTCCGAACACTAAAATATCTGTTTTGGGTGGACTGACCCTATAAATGGCACTCACCAATTGTTGGAATTGGTTGCATGAATTCATCTTGCTTTAACTTAAATAAAATTGTTGTTTTTCCTGCTCCATCAAGTCCCAGAGTCACAACTCGAATTTCCATTTTTGGACCAATGTGAACTCTATTATCCTAATAAAAAAAACAAAGAGGGAATAAAATACACATTTCAGTCTTTGTGCTTAAAATAAATACATGTCAACCTTAAACAGACATCATCACCAAGGTGTGTGTGTGTGTGTGTGTGTGTGGTGATTTTCGGTAAGACCTAAATTGGCTGTAACCCAGAGTGCCAGGGCTCCCAGCGGTGGAACACATCCACTAACAAGTCATATTTTGGACTTCCAGTGTATAATAGAAAGTCCAGTTTGATATCCTGACTGCCAGTGCAATGCAGCGGAGTTCTTATTGTGGCTTATTCTGCATTTTTGTTGATTGAATAGTGTAGATGTAAATATAGTTCATCCACCTCAGGTCTATACACCCAGACTAGGGTAACAGTTTGTCTAATCTTCTAGTTATTGGTTTTAGGCAGACTGTCTTTTAGCTTCTCCATGTCTTGTGTGGCTAATATGTCCGATTTTGCCTACCAAGACTATCCAGTGGACTACAATGGGGTGGGGAGTTAAATGTGGCCCTAGTGATATTCAGCAACATTTGATTTGGGGTTAAAAAATGAAAACAAGATGGCGTACATAGGAGAGGAACCTTCTAGACCACATCTTAAAGCAAAACGGTCACCAACGTAAACCTTTAAAAACAGGCACTAAGAGGTATCTGTACACAACTAATTGACTGATGAGCCTCCAGTCCTGGAGTGCCCAATGTGGAGCTTGAAGCAGATATGCCACATATATTGTACTTTCTCATTTGAGAAATCACCAGTGACCTACACAAGGTTGTCAGACAGAAGTATGATTTCCATAATTACCTTTGTAAATGTAACAGGAATACTGGCATCCAGCTGGATGTGATCTGCCAGCTCAGTAAACTGCTGCTGTTGTTTCTGAAGAGTCTCTAATAGTCGGGTGATCTCCTGCTTGGCCAGAACCACTCTGCAGTCATCCTATGTGAAAGAACATGTTCCAGTTACACAGACAGAGAAACAAGGGTCCCCGGTGCTCAGGATGGTGAATATTGATTGAGGACATCTTTTCAGGTATGAACTCAAATGTAAGATGATGATCATCATCATCATATTATTTTAGTTCTTTAGTACCGCATATTACTGTAATAATTGCAATGAACAATGTTTTATCCCAGGAAATTGGATCATAATGACTTTCTTGAAGTTTTCCGTTACTTATGTCACTGTCACCAATCCTTCTGCCTCCACTCAGATCACCATTTAATAACCCTGATCCCATCCACTTTCTTTTTCCATCTCATTACCTCGTCACTGATCCCCACTGCCACCTCACCCACCCTCTCCCCCACCATAACCATCCCTGCTACCTCACAGTCATAAGTCTCACCCAATCCCTCCTATGTCTAAATGGGAACATGATTTACCATTGTCTACTAAGAACTATATCCCTGGTTCCTGGGGGGAAAAAAAGTTATCTTTTTAATTTTAGTTTAAAGTAGCCAGTCTGTGATGAACTAGTTTAACTGTCCATCATGAATGCAGCTGCTGGACTCATTCACCTAACCAACCGCTTAGTGTCTGCAACCCTCCTCTGTCAATCCCTACACTGGCTTCCAATAGCCCAAAGTATAAAATTCAAAATATTAACAACCACTTACAAAGCCATCCACAACTCCGCCCCCGGCTATATCTCCAACCTTGTCTCTAAGTATCACCCTAACCGCCCCCTCCGCTCTTCAAAAGACCTCCTGCTTTCCAGCTTCCTCGTCAACTCCTCCCATGCTCGCCTCCAGGACTTCACTAGAGTCTCTCCCATCCTCTGGAACTCTTTACCCCAACCTGTCCGTCTATCTCCCACTCTGACTGCCTTTAGGCAATCCCTTAAGACTCATCTCTTCAGGGAAGCCTATCACACCTCAACCTAACCACTGAACCATCACGTTCTCATACAATTCATTCCCTCACAGCTACCTCCTCATGTATCACTTGCCCCTCCCTTTTAGATTGTAAGCCCTCACGAATTGTATTGTAATGTCTTCCTAATATTGTAAAGCACTGCGCAAATTGTTGGCGCTATATAAATCCTGTATAATAATAATTGGCTAAGTACCAGACACAATGGCAGTGTTTACCTGCTGCAGAGCCTTCTCACAATGCAGACAAGCAGTGGACACCTCAGACAATAGGATGGTCATGTTTTCTTGTTGCTGCCTCAGCCAGATGAGCTGCTCTCTCACATGTGCATCCACAACGCTGAGTGCCATTTCCTCCTGACGGCAGAGTGTTTCATGTAAATCAGAAAAATAGGCTCGGACACAAGAGCGGGCATTTTCTGCTGTCCCCGGGACCTAGAAGATGACCGTGATAGAAGGAAAAGAATTAGACCCATGCATGTATAGTCCAAGGACTATGAGGATGTGAGAGTGCTGGGACCAAAATTTCTTTACACGAGGACCAACCAAAATGTAGACTGTATAACAGGTGATGATACTGAGCAAACAGATCCATAATGAACAATCCACTAACTTGCACTAAGCTAAATATCTGGCAAAGTGCCAATTCAGTCCTGTAGTGTATAAAACATTGCTGTCATCTTAAAGTGGAACGACACCATCTCATCCCTTACAGCTCAAGACGGTGCCATCTTAGCCTCGATTTAGATCTGCAGTTGGCAAGCAGCATATGTGATCAGCTAGGACACAGTCATTTGAGGGTTTTAAAAGACCGGTTGAGAGCCGACATAAGCATAATGGCAACTGTGACAGTTATCACTAGAAGCATGCAATTGTTTTGGGAAACGCTTAAAGCCCAAATCCTGGATCTCGGTTAGATCTTTTCCCAGTTCCCTGAATATATGCCAAGAAAGGTTGCTGTATTTATTTCATCATCGGACACCCACTTTAGTAGAATATCAGTATGTTATTCTGGTGACATAATCAATCTGAGCCGAGTACACCCCATGCGTTGGTGGGAGGATAAAACAAGGTGGTGCACGGCACTTACAACTGGGATTCTGATTACAATGTAAACTACATTTCCCACGGGTCCATGGAAAGCGAGTGATGAAGGGAGTGGCTTTAGCACATTACTTCCCACTCTATCCTCAAGTGGACGGACGGGACCAGTCACCCAATGAAATTAGAAGAAAAAAAAAATTGTCATGTCCCCAGGGCAGAAAATAAGGGCATCAAACACAAGAAACTTACACTTTGATTGAGACGAGCGCAGGATGTGTGAGGAAGAAAAACTACACAGGGAAGACAAATTTGGCAGGTCCCCAGGGAAGGAAATAAGGGCACCAAAAACAAGAAACTTGCACCTTGACTGAGAAGAATGTGTGAGGAAGAAGTGATTACAAGGAAGTTCATTGAGCAAGATTAATTATACACAATTCACAGACAAAAAATGAATTTGCCTGGAGCTGGGCTTTAAAAAAGGAGAACTATGGGGTTAAGGCTTTTCCCCATAGTTCTCCTTAGGGTAACGGGAGGACACAAACTAGCGTCCTCCCGTCACCCTAGGCTCAGTATACCGCGAGCTGTAGCATTGTCACAGGTCGGCTAGAACTATGAGGTGAGTGAAAAGCACTCACCTCATAGTTCTCCTTTAAATATAGTGGGTGTATCCAAAATCTGATCACTCCACCCCCTGATGTCAGGGCTGCATATCAACTTCGGCCCTTCTATACCAGCGTATGCTCTACTCACTAGACCTAGCACTAGATTTAAGGACCTCTGTTGGGATCATTCTCCAGCATCCCACTTACTTTTCTCACTACCACTACAGAAGGCTATGGCCCCCTTACATACAGAAATGGGAATCCAAACTAAAAATACCATTAACCACTCAAATTGCCAGAGCAATTTATTTTCACATAAATCCACCTATACTAACTGGTTTCATGAACAGGTTTTTAAACTACTATCTTATTAGTATCAAGTACCAACACTCCTTCGCAAAATCTATCCACAAGTCCCTCTAGGCAAATCAGGTTGCCTGTCATTCAGAAAAGTCTCTGCGACAGGTTTACAGTCCCCTGCGTCTCTATTCCTGGGTAGCCAAGTGCGACAGTTTGCAAAGTTCTTAGACAGATTTATTACTGAAGATGCAACACTCTAAACAGACAGATAAAGAAATAGCCATAGTCAGGTTTTATTCTGTCATAGTGCTTCTTTAAAGCAGCTGAGGGAGGAATTCTATAACCTTGTAGTAAATCATACATGAATTGTAACTTGTAGTAAATCTGTCGCACAATCTGTCTCACTGCTCCCGTTTAGCACTGCCTTGCCAAGTGAAAAGATTGTATGAATGCCCCCCAATGTATTTTATGTACTATGGGGGACATTCATCAATTCTGTCACACAGCAAGGCAATGCTAAGCATGGGCAGTGACACAGATTGTGCAACAGATTTAATACAAGGTTACAGCTTAAGTCATAAATCCCCCCTTTGGCTGCTCTAAAGTCGCACTGCAACAGAATAAAACCTGACCCCGATCACTTCTTAATTATGCTTCTGTTTAGAGCAGAAAACCTGTCTCTTCCTCCGTAATCTGTCCCAGACCTTGCAGATCGATCACAGTCGGCTGCCCAGGACACACAGGTTACAAATACACAGTAAACCTGTCGCAGAGTCTTTGCTACGCGACAGGCTGCCCGATATGCATCTAGCTGTGTCACTAATTTGCTTGATAAATGTGCCCATAGTATTCATGTTCATATTTACATGTTCAGTGTGTGCCATTCCAATGCCATCTTCCACAATCTGCTCGCCACCTTCAATCTGTTGAACGATGCCCGTCAGCTTCCGGGAATATTCTGAGATCTCCTCAGTGAAACTCCGTATACAATGCGCCATATCTAAGATGGAGGCACGAATCTGGCTGGCTTCTGACTCGAGTACATCATGCTATAGGGAATTAATGAAAAGATCTGTTAAGCAATGATCTAAACAGACATCAAACAGTGGTCAGGCAGAAACCCAATAGAGTAGGTAAACATCCATGCATGTAAGTGGGGAAAACACTTAACCTTTCCCCAAATAGGAGCTTTTAACACTTAGGGGATGATTTATAAAACTTAAACCTATCCATACACTGGGTGAATGCCATTTGTATGGCATTCCTGCTACTAGAGGGAGCCGAGGAACATCACAATTTCCTTTGATTTACCTTGCCAATTTTACAATAACTCAGACAGGGGTTTAATGGTCACTTTTTGGGTTGGCTGGGAATTTTCTGTTCAGTTCTAATGTCAATGAACCAGCATTCTAAGAATGGGACAGAAGTGTGTATTCTTTCTAGGAGGAGTGATCATATTACCTTGTGTCCTTGGTGTTTCCCATACTCCTTGCACACACAGCACATCAGTGGGCTGGGCTGGCAGCCATCTTCTAAGCACACAAACTCAATGGCGTGGACTTGGTGTTGGGAGCACAGGGTTTTCTCGTACGGTTTGTCAGCTAAAGGGACACGCCGGTGTTTAGCCAGGGTCTTTGTGGAATGGGTGTGCAGGGAGCAGTCTGCACACAGGTGAGTGGCGCATACAGTGCAGTATACTGAAGCTACATGGGCTTCATCTTCATCACAGCGGACTATACTCTGCAAAAAATACACAAGTCATCTCTAAATATGATCAAGACAATGGTCCAGGGCTTGAAAAATCTGGGTGCTATGCATTTTGTGTTTCTGCATACCCATCATGCATTCTAAATAATGTAATTTGAAAGGGTCAATACATTTGAAATTGATATTTTAGTTTTCAGTAGATGCTAGACAGTTAAACCACCAGACATTTTATTTTCTCAGGGACTATCAGTTGGATCTCTGCCCTGAAGTTCCTCTGAATGCACCTCTGTTGTGGCCTTTATGGTTATGGGGAACACCACTAATGGGTTGGATGGAGCACACAAAGCTGGGAGGGAACATCAAAAACTACCACAGGAGCAGGAACAGATTGGGAATTCTAGCAAGGAGATTTCACAGATGGGGTTTCCAAGACATTTTGGGGCTGACTTAGCCCACCAAGTTGTCTCTATAACTGAAATATCACTTTTGGATTGGGACAATGCATAGCCATGCACTGTGTTATCTCCATTCCTGTGTCCAGAATATGAGTGGCCAGCGCATGCTGATGGCTCAGGTGTGCACAGCCTTTAAAACAAAAAAGGTGTTGGGAAGGGTTCATGGCGCCACCTGGGAGACAGGAAAGCTCCACCCGGGAGTCAGAGTGGAGTCAAGTGCAGCAGGGTGCTGCAGGTTGGAAAAACCTTTGTGCAGGTTAGCGCATGACTGAGACTGTCTGGAGGAACAGACAGTGGCCCGAGGTCTGAGGCCGGAGCAGCAGTGCTGCAAATGCAAAGCTAGGAGGCTGGATGGGCAGGTGCTGCCAAGGGATGCTAAGGAACCCCTGCGAGGGTAAATGCTTTGTTTGTGAACTTTCATTTAATAAAAGTGGGCAAGGAAGCCCTGAAATGAAGATTTCTGCGAGTGGATGCGTCCTTAATGCACTACTGTTTGGAGCGAACTCTCACAATCACACACACATCTGAAAGCAGCGTACCTCTCCAGAGCCTCCTATAGACTCCTCTGAAGAACTGCACTGACCACTAGCCCCATTCTGTAGCCGTTCAAGAAGTTCCAATAAAGCAAAGTTTTTCTTTAGGCCCCACACACCGGAGTCCCCTGTTCATAATAAAACAAGAATTCAGCAGAAGGTCCAACACTAACAAAATAATTACTTAATGAAAACACAACAAATGTATTACAGCCCATTTAAAATCTGATACACCAAAATTGTTACAGACAACACTTTGACATTTTAGGATTTAAAAAACGACTTCCTCACATCATCTTTGTTTTTTAACCACTTAACTACCGGAGCATTTTTTGAGCACACATGATAAAGCTGGATTTTTGGCTAGGAAACGGTTTAAAACCCCCAAACAATTATACATTGTCTGGCTAGTTACAAATATTGTATGTTGCAAGATATATGCACAAATATTTCAAATCAATATTTGTAGGAAATATACACTAAAATACATTTCAGTGCACAAAACAGAGTAGAATGCCCAACTTATTATCTACTTCAGTATTGGATGTGTATTTACGTACATTGGTACTGAAGTGTTTTTTTAAATGCCAACAGTTCAAACGTCACACCATGGTGATAAAGTCTGAGAAGGTTCTCATTCATCCAGGTCAGGTATATCTGTAAAAATAAATCAAAAGGAACTGGAATTGCTGTATTTTTCTTAAAGACATTTCGCTGGTCATCCGACTAGCTTTCTCAAATTTTGACTTGAGAAAGCTAGTCAGATGACCAGCGAAACATCTAGCAAGTCTAGTTGCTTTGACTTATTTTTTACAGACATGGTAATAATGCTCAGCTTGTAGATTGGATTTCCCAGTGACTTTGTTTCCTGCTTCTTGCAGAAGTCTGCACAGAGCTGAAGGAGTCTCCAGAATTGTAGTCAGGTAGAGTGCACTGGGGGTTTCATTCATGGTAGAGGACTGCATATCCAATAATAGAATGTCTGCATCATTTCTCACTATAGGGACAGATTATTTTTGTCAAGGCGGACCTCCCTTCAGCACTATCACCAGGATGTAGGAATACACCTCCAGCAAATATATGCTTTGAAGCTCTCATTTACCCAGTGCATTGCAGCCTCAAATATTGTATTCTCTTTCTTTCAATTTCCCGGCTCCACTAAACATTGCAGTTGAAGGAATCGCCACTGCCGACTATTGTACTTTGACAGCTGGCTCCTGTGGCTGTCAGAATACCAGAACAGTGACTGCAGTCACTCTTCGGCTAACAATTTTCCACCCGCCCGATTCAGCAGGAAATGGCCCCAATCCATGTACGCCCAGTTTTACATGATAATTTATAGAATTATATAGAAAATAATGATAATTTATGTAAACGTTATGTAATAAATAAAAAGCAATGTTTTATTTTGTGTAGAGTACATTTTATGGGTTACCGTACAAAAAAAAACCCATTCTATGTGTATTCTGGAGTCTGTGTAAACATTATATAGAGAAAGATTACCTAGTTCAGTGACCTGCCGGTCGAATGGGCAGCGTATCGCTCTCCCGTGCAGAGGGAGGCGGGTCAAGCAGTCGTGGCAGACGGTATGGCCACACAGCAACAATCGTGGAACTTTGTCCCCTTGTAGAGTGAACACATCTTCACAGACGCCACATTCCAGGACCTACACATGACAGATAACAACATTTTTATCAGCGCCAGGAGGACCTAGAAATTCCTATGTGGTACGTGGAAGACGAGTAAATCTGGACAAAGATGGAAAATGAAACCAGTGTCCTAAAAAGACAACAGGGAAACCAATGGTAGACTTTTCAGATGTTGGTGGACTGTGCAATCTTTTGCATGACTTAAAAGAAAAAAAAGATTCACATTACTGCAATGAACTTCTCCATTTAAAACCAGGCAAACTCACGAAAAAGAGGAACTTTACCCACCAATTTAACTGCCCCCAAAACTGTTACTTTCAAGGAATGCCAACTGTCAATGTTGCCAGTGTGTTTATTTCAGCTCTCAACTAGTAATGCACCGATATATCGGCCGCCGAAACATATCAGCCGAAAATTGCACTTTTGGCAAAGTGCCGAAAGTGCCATATTCTGGCCGAAATATCAGTGCATCCCTGTATTCTCTCCTCCCCGCTTGGGAGCTGCTCTGTGTCCCAGCGGGGAGGAGAGAAACTGTCACAGGCGGCCGAGCGCTGCGGGAGGAGGAGAACGCTATGAGCGACCGGCGTCTCTCCTCCCACACCGCTCAGCCTCCTGTCACAGATCAGGAGAGCGGCAGTGTGGGCAGGGACAGCCAGTGCTGTCACAGGAGGCCGGCCGGGGGTGAGGAGTCAGCTGTCAGATCAACTCTCCTCCCCCACCGCCGAGCCTCCTGTGACAGCTGTCAGGATGCAGAGCGAGTACAAGCAGTCAGTGATCAGTGATCGCTGAATGTTTGTAAATAATTGAGGACATGGCATGTTGACTATATCCTCTATTATGAATGAATGGGAAAGGATCTACATCACCTCTTGTTCATTCATGATTGTGGCTATAGTAAACACACTCTGTCCTCATGTTATGAATGAACAGGAACACTCATAAAGGATTCCTGTTCATTGATAACAGGGGCTGCATAAAAAGAGATTGAGGACACAGAGACCTCAATCTCTTTTTCTATTTTAAAAGGGAAATATCAGGGGTCTGTTTAGACCCCTAATATTTCCCCGTAGCACCTAAAAGTAAAGTATATAATAGAAATATTTACTAGAAATAAATAAAAATAATTTAAAAAAAAAATGAAAAAAATTCATAAAAATATACATTTTTTTAAACAAAATTTAAAAAAAAAGATAGAAAAAAAAAAATCATTTTTCGGTTTCGGCCCAACGTTTTTTTTTTTATTTCAGTTTCGTTTTTAAAATGTTAATTTCTCAAATCTGACTGCAAAAGTGGTAATACACTTTAAGCAGAAAAGCCTTTAGGCAGAAAGCCCATGACGCTATGAGGTGCAGAGATATAATCAAGGTCAATGCTGCCCCCCTAACCAGTGTTGATATCCCACAGCAATTAATTACCAAAATCACCTGATAGAGTACTTGTCCAAGGTATGTGTTCAGATTTCAGCAGCTGCACAAACAATCCCTTCAGGAACATTTTCTCTTCATCACACAAACCTAGAAATCCCAGGAACACAAGAGCGCAGGGATGCCTCAAAATTTTGTGGTAGTGGGACCGTGATGTGAAGGGGGCTACTGATGTAAAAGGGGAACCTCTGATGTAAAAGGGGAGACTCCTATCAAAGAGGGGCTTTTCTGATGTGAAAGAGGGGCTTTCCTGATGTGAAAGGGGGAATCTTGATTTGACGGGGACACTTTGATGGAGGGCCGGAGGTTCCCCACCCCTGCTATACACTGTGTATTAAACATGATGACTCGAGGACTCCTAGACCACTGCAGTGGAGGGGGAGAGAGGCTGGAAGGCCCGGTCTAAGAGCAAGCCGGCTTGGAGGGTCGGGTGAGTGTAACTTTTTTTTTTTTTTTAGCACCTAGACAGAAAAAGAACACATAACCCTTGCAGTGTGAGGGTAGCCCCACTCCAAGGGTTAATACATTTTCTGTCCAGAGTTCTGCCTTAAAGTTGGCAATGTTTTGGAGGGATTTTAAAGTGTAGCTGTTACAAACGTGGGCAATCCAAAATCAAAATACGGTGAAGAAAAAAACCTCACCAGCAAATTACATTCAGTGAAAGCTGCATGTCAACACAAACAAGATGAACGGATCTACAGACAGGCTGCCAAAGTTAAATACAAGTCCCAACCTTTCCCTAAGGGCCCATGTGAATGGCACATTGGGCAGTAAAGCCGGGCTTGTGCTTGTTGCACTCATGGAGGCACGGTCGGGGGGATTGGCAATGAGGCCGGAATGTCCTTGCCAGGCATTCAGTCCTCAGTGCAGCTCAGTAACGCTGGACCTGATAAAATCAGAAAATCACAGACTTGGCATTACTGAACTCCCGACCGCTAGCTGTTGACCCACCATGTTTACCTTTGGCTGCAGGTACAGAGCCAATCAGACCAGCTGTCTGTCTTGTGATCACTGTAAATCATGGAGATCACATGACAATGTTTACATTGCTAAGCCCACCCCCTTCCTCTTAAAGGAGAAGGTACAGTGTTGCATGATAGAGTATTTGTCAGTCAAACTATCTCCACGCTGAAAACAGAACAATGGCCTGGACTGGAAGGGGGTATAACAAGCCGGTTCTGAAGAGGTTAACACATATGTATTAAAGCGCAAGTAAACCTGTCCTGAACTGCGGATCACTGTGGCATGCAGTTTTCTGTAAAACAAACACCCTCTGCTGATGCTTCACAGACCGAACTGCCCACATCAAAGCATTCTTCTGCTGGAACCGGTCAGCACTGCAATCCAGGGACAAGACTTCAGAGCCGGGGGTGTCCCTGGGAATCAGTAGCAGCCATGAATGTGTTATGTGTGTCTGCACAGGGATATAACAGGCAAGAATTATAACAAAGTTCACGCGATGACGTGTAGCCCGTGCTCCGGGCCCTCCAGGACAGATCAACAGATCGCACCCTCTGGGATCACACACGTCCCCCCTACTGGGGCATTCCTCTCACCTTCACCGCTCCCCCTGGACCCGTCCGGCTCTGCCTGCTGATCCCCTCCATCCTGCCCGCAGAGCCGTGCCTATTTACAGCAGCAGCTGCAGCGACAGCCATATTGACAGGCCGGCCTCCACTATGGTCAGCAGGGGTGTCTACACCCCTTGCTGGGACATTACACTGCACTGTAACCACAAGCCTGGGAGATTGAAAGAACAAATCCAAAAAAAAAAATAGGTGAGATTTTTCTCTATAATATATTTTTCTCACTGTACGCGGATAATGCATATAATCCGAATTCTTCATCCCCTCCCCCCTCAGTGTTTGAATGATTTCGTCCAAGCTTTGCCAGTAGTTAGGGCAGCCTTCGGCAATAGACTAAAAAGGCTGCAGTCTGTCACAGTGCTGCTGCGGCGGCCATGTTTAGTGTGGGAAAACAAAAACGTCATTGATATAAACTGCATGCATACTTGTCTTTTATCTAAACTAAAGGGAGGCTGGAGTTAGCTTCCTGTATTATAAATAATTAATACTGAAGTTTCTCATTAAAATTGGCTTATTAAATCTATCTGGACCGCAATTTACATATTTTCTAACATTGTATTATAGCTTTAAGCATACTGAAAGCAATCCTGTCACTGTGGAGACCAAGCTAAAGTAAAGATCACCACAAGTTACAATCTGACCACACAATCTCCTCCAAGGCGACCATACACTATAATATGTTTTTACAATCTCCTTTAGATCTACCATCAACTATGCAGTGCGAAGGCAAACCAAATTTGATACAAATGCAATGAAATGTTGAGGTATCTCTTCATATTACGCCATTTTCCTAAATCTAAAGCAAATTGTACAATGAGATTGTATAGTTTATGATCAGCCTTAGCACTACCAACAACTACATAGAGCAAGGGCCTGCCTGATTGGATAGGTTAGGTAGATCCTCATATTATATAGTATGGTTTGGATAAATCTAAAGTTGATTGTACAGCCTTTAGATTGTAAGCCCTCACAGGCAGGGCCCTCCTTACCATCTTGTCTTGAATTGTATTGCAATGTCTTCCTAATATTGTAAAGTGCTGTGCAAACTGTTGGCGCTATATAAATCCTGTATAATAATAATAATAATACAGATTGTAACATGCAGTGACACTTAGGACTCGTTCACCCAGATGCAGTGTGTTCCGACCTGAATGCACTGCCTCGCATTGCGGCCGGCTCACTTTTTTTGTGGGGCGGGGGGGACGTGGCAGTCCATTGAAGCGAATGCACCGTAGCCACGCCATCCGGCCGCACAGGATCGCAAGGCACATTATGCCTGTGGTCCGATCAAAATAGCAGCATTTTGAACAGATCGGACCGCAGGCATAACGTGCCTAGCGATCCCGTGCGGCCAATCACATTGAGGCTGGAGGGCGTGGCTACGGTGCCATTCACTTCCTCCTGCCCCACAAAAGTGACCCGGAACACACTGCATCTGGTGTGAACGAGGCCTAAAGCCAACCTGTAAAAGGGACATTGTACACTGAGCTTTCTGGTGGTCTGTGTGTTACCATTGTGCTGTGTAGTATATGTCTGGCTGTTGGACATTGGAGCTGGCAGGAGGAATCTCAGTGGCCGGCCACAGATCTATGACGCAGCGGAGATCTATAAGACAGGTATACAGAATCTTCTTTTACATTCTTTTACACACGGTCTTACAGGATTGGAATTTCCTATACTCCTCAGCTCCATCTAGTGGCAGTAGTACACTGCGAACGTCATTCACACAGATATACACTGCGCAAATCTGTTCCTGGATATTATTTATTACAGCTATTAATATAGCGCCAACAATTTACACAGTGTTTTACATTCACATCAGTCCCTGCCCCCAAGGAGCTTACAATCTAAGGTTCCTATTAGGGATGCACCGATACCTAAGGCCGTGTTCTCCCTGGAGAGGCCTCAGGGGTGACAGGCTGCCCATACTAAGGTAAGGTAACCTTACCTCATGAGACCAGCTTCCTGATTGGTCAGCTTCCCGACCATTCCGAGTATTTGAGCGAGTACTTCCGGTATCAGGAAGCCAGGCAGCGCGTCATTACACGCTGCCCGGTTTCCCGATTGGCTGGGAAGCGGATCCATGCTCTCTCGTCACTTCCCGGCCAATCAGGAAGTTGGGCAGCGTGTAATGACACACTGCCTGGCTTCCTGATACCAGAAGTACTCGCCCAAATACTCGGAATCAGCACCGATATCGATATCAGTATCGGTGCATCCCTAGTTCCTATATCACATGCCTACATACAGGGCTGATTTAGACAGGCGCTAACTAACCTACCAGCATGTCTTTGATGTGTGGGAGGAAACCAGAGTACCCAGAGGAAACCCACACAAGCACGGGGACAACATGCAAACTCCTTGCAGACAGTGACCTGGCTGGGATTTGAACCAGGGACCCACAGTGCTGCAAGGCAGAATTGCTAACCACAACATGTGCTGATCTCCTTCTTCCATATGGATTGGACTGAGACAACCTCATAGAAGGAAACACAGACATGGACATTTTTTAAGGTGCTGGAAGTTATAAATATTCTGACTTTGCCCGAGCAAAAAATCATCATCACTAGAATACTTTCCAACGACCCTCCGCTTCAACTTCCTCTGAAAATATATTAGTGAATACTTAAGTTATCAGTGTACATTGAGACTTGTAATTCCACAGCCACAAAATGCCCTATTACCCCAGTCTCCCTATAACCGCAGATCCTCCTAAATCCTGGGTCCTCCTACCACCCCAGATCACCTTCTCACCGTAAATCCCCCTATTGCCCCAAATAAACCCTATCATACCGAGCCCTCTATCGCCCTTAGTCCTCCTATCAGCCCAGGTCCCCCTATCACCCCAGGTCCTCCTAGCACCCAAGGCCCCCCATCACCTCAGTTACCCCTTTCACAGCAGGTCTTCCGATCACCCAAGGGCCCCCTATCACCCCAGACCCTCCCTATCCCCTCAGGTCCTACAATCACCCCAGCAGGCCCCCCCATCAGCCCAGGTACTTCCCATCACCCAAGGCCCACCTATCATCCAGGGCCCCCCTACCACCCCAGAGACCCACTATCACTCCTGGTCTCTCAATCATCCCCCCTATCACCCCGGGTCTCTACAACACGAAGCAGCACACAATACTCCCGCCGCACTTTGACTCAGCAGGCTCAAAGAATGTGTCACATGATCTACATGGCATTGAGCGAAGGGTTGAAGAGTAGAGTACATTCTGCGCATGCGCCGATATCTGATGAGATTTGGTCCCTTCTTCCACCCGTAGGCGCCGTGTAGTGAGTTTGCTTTTCGGTTCTGACAGTTCGGGCGCCATGGATGTGAACCAGCCTAAGCAGGAACACCTATTGGCCCTCAAAGGTACCGGAGTACGGGGAGTAGAGTTGGGGGGGTTTATGTACTTCTGGGTGAGATGAGGGGGCAGTCACTTACTCTGTTTTCTTCTGTCCGGCGTGTGTACGCGTCTTCCTTATAACTGTGCTAGGCCTGTGTCCCCTAGACTCAGCATTACTGACATGTCATAGAGCCTGTGTCCCCTAGACTCAGCATTAATGACATGTCATAGAGCCTGTATCCCCTAGACTCAGCATTACTGACATGTCATAGAGCCTGTGTCCCCTAGACTCAGCATTACTGACATGTCATAGAGCTGGTGTCCCCTAGACTCAGCATTACTGACGTCATAGAGCCTGTGTTCCCTAGACTCAGCATTACTGACATGTCATAGAGCCTGTGTCCCCTAGACTCAGCATTACTGACATGTCATAGAGCCTGTGTCCCCTAGACTCAGCATTACTGACATGTCATAGAGCATGTGTCCCTTAGACTCAGCATTAATGACATGTCATAGAGCATGTGTCCCCTAGACTCAGCATTACTGACATGTCATAGAGCCTGTGTCCCCTAGACTCAGCATTACTGACATGTCATAGAGCCTGTGCCCCGGCCTGCTCATGTAATCCTCTTGGATTTGGGGCCGGTTCACACTAATGAGCTGCAGTAGTGCATACACGTATACAATATGGTATCTGCGCCTTTCACATGTTGTGCATTCCTTTATGGGCTGCCATTGTATGACAACACGCCACGTATAAAACCAAACATGCCTGTTTTTCAGGGCACAGCACGAGCATGTAGCCTAGGTGTATTGGGTGCCTCTTAAAATGTATGTTACACATGTGAGGTGCCTTCGGGCGATTTGAATAAAGGCATTTCTGAGGGTGTGCATGTAGTCGGAAGCCTTGTACCAAATTCTTCAAAGCCCTGCAAAATGTTCATTGTTGGCACTGAGGCGTGCAAGAAATGTAAGCCATCCTTATGTGGGACATTGTACAGAACGTTGTACAGTATATCTTCTCTGTTGGAGTACATTGTTGCTGGTGTTGTACATGTAATTATTGTGTTGCATCCTTGAGACAATTCTGCAGCAAATTTGTCTTTAGGTTCCTCTGGAACTGATATTTGGTAGGTTTCCAATCTGCCTGTGAAACTCCGCCCCCACCTCACAGGCTCATTTACACTTTACTGACCCGAATCTCCCGCAGGTTCCACCATTTGTCGCACTACCACAAGACGGAGATCTGAAGAGTGTGTGCAATATTCTTTATGCATTCCGGGGAGTGTGTTTATTGCATCTAGGGCTGAGGCAACTAATCGATCATGAGAATCGTTGTCAGCGATTCTCATTATCAATGAATTGGTCTGGATTCCCTGCTTCTCCCCTCTAAACTGGGAGCTGGTGTTTCATCAGCTCTGTGTCCCTTGTGATCTCTGTTGCTTCCAGCGGGGATCAGGGGGGACACAGACACCTGCAGCTGGTGCCCAGCGGTGAGGAGAGCTCCCACAAACCCTCCTCATTCACTTCCTGTTAATTCATGATTGTGGACACAGTATTTCTCCTCGATTTATGAATGAACAGGAAGCCCCTGTACTGAGAGCTTCCTGTTCATTCAGTGCTGGGGCTGCAGAAAAAGAGATTGAGGACACAGATTCCTCAATCTCTCTCTTTTTTTTTTTTAATAGGGAAATATCAGGGGTCTGTTTTAGACCCCTAAATACAGGGCTCGAGAAATCCCAGGGGTCAGTTCGTCAATGCGACTAGGAATTGCGTCCTGGCATCTGGGCTTTTGTCAGCCTGTTCACTGCACCGCCGCTTCCCCCAGGAGATGTGGGTCCTTCCACACTGCTGTCACTTTTCTTCCCTGCTATTTCCTGTGTGCAGTGCTGAAGAGAAGCTGGGACGTGAGTAGAAGGTAGCTGACATTATTGTTATTGTTCCCCCTCCACCACCGCATGAACCTGTTCCCCGCCTTGCTGTTTGCTGCGATCTGCGTCCGCTCTGTCACACACTGCGGCACCCGGTTACAGCCTG